AGATGTCTGTAAGATCCATATTTTTAATACACAGATATCTATGTAGTTCTGTTACAAGGTAGGTGAAATCTCATTGAAGCCAGTATGCATAACTGCAGTTCTACATGTAAAATATCTGTGAGAGGTCCTGCTTAAGGAAAACAGATAGCAGCCCATTAATCCAAGACATGGGCATGTAACTGCACCAAAATCAAAGGGATATACCAGTCCACTCAGGAGTTCAGTGATCTGGCTAGAAGGGCTTTGCCTGTTCTTGATTTGGATAGCATATAGGTGAAGACACTGCCCAGGTTGAAGCCATAAGTTTCAACTCAAAAGAAGGAGTATGGTTCAGAAGAAGCCTAATGAGCAGGCATTTATGTCAAAATCCTGGCTAAGAGAGACTTGATGCTGCAAGGAAGGAAACTGCCTTGATTCTTCGAGTGTTCAGGAAAACAGGACTTTGTATTTTCTTGCAAATAAACAGAACTCTCTCAAAAAAAACCTGATTCCATCTCCAATTTCTCCTAATTGAAGCAACCTGCAAGACCCTGAGTTTTTTATTAGCCATTTTAGTCAAATTGGGCAAGAGTACCAGCCAGCCTACAAAACCTCAAAGCATTCTAGAAGGTCTGCACAACAAAACTGCTGAAATGCAAGTTCTGGGTGGTGATTACCATCCAAATGATTGCTGGCACATAACATAGAGCTAATAATAAAGGAGAAACAAAATTTCAGCCTAGGGCAAAAGGCAAACACACATGAACATTTTCAGGGAGCTTTTAATGTCATGCCCCAAACACAGGATGTTAGTGCAGAAGGTCTCCCTCAAAAGACCTGCCTGCAGTGAACTGCCAGGAGCTCAATAGCCCCAAATCTTAAAGCATAACTGGGGTGACTCCACTGACACCAGTGGAGTACATACAGATTCTGACCTGCTGTCAGCTTCCATTGCAGCCAGTGACAAAACTCACGTTATCTGTAGTGAGAGAACAGGGAGTCCCACGGGCTGGATGATGTGCCCCTGTGCACTAAACTGCTGGTGTGCAGTGGAGCCAGTGCACAACAAGATCCAGTCCATGGGACTGGGCTATGCAGTGGGTCAGGCCAGCATGTGGCCAAATCAAGCATGTAGGGTCAAGTCAGCACACAGCCAGATTCAGCATGCAAGGGACAAGCTGGCAAGCAGCTGGATCCACCACACAAATAGTACATGTGTGGTGTCAGAACAGCATGTGTGGATGGGACAGGAAGCCGGATTACACCTGTGGACCAGCCCCAAGTGCTGGATCCTGCCCATGATCTGGCCCCGCACCATTCATCTGGCCCACATGGCCAAAAGGTCGAGCACCACTGTTGTAGGAGGTCCAAATGCTGATTCTTAAACCACTGCTTTCCCAAGTGGCTTTGAGTCCATGGTTGCAGATCCTTGCAGGTTGAAAATACTAGATTGAGAATTAATACAAATATAGAAGGAGAATGCATACCAAATAGGAAATAAAGGAGAAACTATCATCTAATCTGTCTGCCTGAGCAAGCGAGAAACTAATAGTCCAAACACAGAAGTAAAACAACAGAAAAAATTTAATGTGCAAACCAACAGTAGTTCTACAGAGAAGATGGGAACTGAGAAGGAAGAATGGTCCAGTGGTTAGGGCATTAACTTGGGACTGTGGTAAAACTACATTCAAGCCCCTGCTTTGCCACAGACTTCTCCTGAGTGACTTTGCACAAGCCATATACTCTCTTTGCTTCAACTGCCCATCTGAAAAAGGAGATAACAGGACTTTCTTGCTTCACAAGGAGGTTGTGAGTCTTCACAGCCTGGGTGACATTCAGATACTGTAACTCAGACAACACCAGTGTCATAGATATGAGAATGATGTGAAGCTCAGGGGCATTTTGGTTTATGCAAATGATTTATTTTACCACACCAGGGCTTGGCCATATCTAATGAGATTCCTTAGGAGGGACAGATTTTTTACACCTTCCATGTAGCCAGTTCTTATGATCTTTCTCATCTCATAAGAAAGGAAAACTCTATGCAACAAACTAAACCCCTCCCTTGCAGCAACAGGCTCACCATAAAAAGAAGTTGATGCCTCAGCATCATCCAAGGAAATGAAAAGCAGATGAAAATACTGGATCTTGCAGCTTCAAAAACATAGAGAAAGGCATGTGGAAGGTAGCGTGTTGTGGGATCTGTGATGGACGACAATTCACAACAGAAGGCATGTTCAAGGAGAGCTCAGAAACTGGGATTTATTCACTGAACATAGTGCACAATTCTAAAATGAAGGTCCAAACTGTATCTCAGGCCCTTCCTTTTGGCAAGAGGCATTCAGCCACTGAAATTTCCTCCCTTAGCCTCTTGCTCTGCTGTTGTTTTTAAAGAAGTTATAGGGATGGAAGTACGTGCCTTGGTTTAAAAAAGAACAGGATTGTGCAAAACTGCTAAAAATAATGCAGGGAGCTAAGGAATTGTGGCTCCTGGAATAGAGCACAGATACTCATTGTTCACCTCTGTCCAGCACAATCAAGGCCTTGTCTGCAACGGTGGTGACTTTTACGGTAAATCCTTAAACATGTTTTCCTTAGTCACTCCATTGGTGTGTCTGTCTAGCTGTCTCCACCAAGGTTCTTGTTAGAGAACATCAAAACATGAAAGAATAACTGTGCAAGTTTCCTGAGAGAGTTCTGATTTTTCCTGTTGCCATGTAGGGCAGTTATCACAGTGTAAACTCCCTCATGATCCTAAAATACCAGCATGGTGGGGCATCCAGAGAGCTACTGCATGTGCTGGCAATAGCATAGAGCAGAAGGCTGTTTGACAGACTGCAGGCGTCTGTCTGGGAAACTTGCTACAGAAAAGACTTCAAGCCACGGGTCAATCGTGGACAGAAGATGGGATGGGATTAGAGGGCATTTTCTGTAATTGTGCCATCTAACAAGCCAGTGAACATGTCAGTCATCTAAAACAGTGGAAGGAAACTGCCCCTAACAAAAGTGGCATCAGAGGCATTGGAAGGGCAGGATTGGGTATGATCTTTGATGTCCCCTGGGCCAGCAACAGTGATTGCAGTCCAGATGGGCCCACTGGTAGGAAACTTGAGTGCTCTGATGTTTTTTCGACTTCTAGGCTCAAGGTTCAGCTTGAGTAGATTTCACAGGAAAATCAAAGAGCTATTTGTTCATGTTAAGAAACAGCCCAGGCACTAAAATATGTCAAAGCTGTCTACTGGTTTTCTGACTCCTTTCATCATTTGAATTATCTAAATCCAAGTATCTCAGATTCTCTCAAAAAAAGAATTCAAAGCAAGTATTTCTCCCTTGCTTTTTTCCATTAGTGTCCACTTGTCAGATTTTTATTTTCATCCCATTCAAGTTTGAAATTTCCTATAAGAACTTTTACAGGCAAACTCAATATTTTCTCCTTGTTTCTCACTGCCAGAGAGCTAACAAAAATTGAATGGGAATATGCTATTTTGGGAATCTCTCTGACTTTCCAATGTGCAGACTCAAGATGCAACTCAACACAACTGACTTGCCATGGCCATATCACTTGATCTATCATTTACTCCTGTGTGAACCAAGTAGCAGTAAAATGCAGCCATTTTGGATCTGATATGATTTTAACCTACTTTACACTCAATCTGCACAAGTAAAACTAACTTCACCAAGGGTCTCTCAGTGGAGACTCAGGCACAATATGTCATTTAAAAACATAGGTACTAACTACCATTGGCGGATCAAAGATTTTGAAATGGGGGGGTGCGGATGGTGTGGCACATCAAACCATAAAACACATCATATTTTTCTTCAGTTAAAGAGGAACTAGATGCTTTACTAATATGCTAAGGACGTAGGGCATTGTATTATTCAGTTTAATATCAAAGCAAAAACAAATATAACTATTGGCATGTACACAAATTTGATGGATGATATATATAGTGTAAAAAACCACAAATTAGGCAAAAAATAATGAAAACAGTCAAAAGATATTGTCATTAGTCCCATAGGCATTATAGTTAAATCTGCATCTGTTATTCAGATTCATAAAACAAAATGAAGCCTTCTTGAGCATCTTGGCAGTACCGCCAATACTTCATTGTCAATCATTTTTACATCCAGTAATATTACTACCCCTGAAGTAAGGTTTTTAGCTAGAGCTGAAAACAGTTTACAGGGCTGTGGAATAGAAGAAAGGCATTACCAGAAATGGCTAACAGACAGCAAAATTGCAGAAGAAAAAATAGTTTGAATAGTGGAATACCAAGGCCCTTAAAAAGGATAAAGGGTTATTAACACCTGTGGAGTGAGAGAGATTAGCAGGACTCAGGGAGCTGATAGTGAGCCATGAAGTTAGTTGACTCTCTCAGCACTGCCTGAACAGTAATGCTACTGCCCCTCCTGGGCAGCTGGTTTTAAAGTTTGGGTGGAGCAGAAATCAAAGCTGCACCATTGAATGCCACCCTCATCCTGCAGATCCACCTTTGGTATCTACACTTAGTGGACACTTTGGGAGGTTTTAGCCTTTCAGTCGAAATGAATTTGATAGAGACATCCATTTGAAAAAATGTCCAGTCTCCAGATCAAGGAAAATGTACAAAACACCTTCAAAAGGTGAGCCTAGGAACAAAAATTCAGATGCAAAAATTCAGAAGCCAGATGAACACTAAGAACCAAGGACTAAACACTGACATACACTTGGTCCAAAAGATACTACCCACAAAAATCCTTTCTAGTCACCAAAAAATTCTATAAAGAAATCCATATTTTTGACAAACAAAAGCTCAGAAGAAAAAATGGGGTGAGAAATTTGTTAGCCAATTCTATAGGTATTATTAGGATCATGTACTTTTATGTTAACAATTATATATATATAATTGTGTGTGTGTTATACACACACACACACACACACACACACACACACATGCACAGGGAGAGGGAGAGGGAGAGAGAGGGGTATTAAATTTTAGTATTCATACATTCAGAAGGATAAAGGCTTGCTCCATACTTACACTAATTGTGATGCTTGAGTATTTGAGCTGCAGCTGAACTTTGTACAACCTTAGGCTTGCAAAATGTGTTAAATTTCAAAACATCTTGAAATTTGCTTGGTAAGATTTTTGTGGTGGTCACAGATGAGGCACATGTTCTGTACTTCTGCTTATGAGATACAAAGTTGCAGGTTGGCTAAATTTTGCATAACGTTTTTGCTATAAACAAGTGTCGGATAAATATAGATGTATTAAAAATTATGTGGAGCTGCCTCCATCCTATAACTGCAACTGCTGCTGCACTCCTTTTGGCTTGGTCACCTTTAATTATATGTCCTGTTGACTGATTTCAGTCAATAAATTAACTGAGTTTGACCAGCTTGCTCTTTTGGGTCCTTTTCTTAAATATAATTTCTTTTTAGAAACAGCAAGCAAGCCAAAATCCATATTGCTCAGGGCTGTTCCCCCAACTGTGCCCAACCTTTTCTGCATAATCAAATAAAAATCCTCCTGCTGTTTAGATTATTGTCTTCCACTGCCAGTGGGATCTGAAAGGGCATTGAAAATAGCCTAATGTCCACACACATTTACTTATATGGATCAGATCATCCTTAGCCTCCTTGTATAGAGCTAGGATACAAAAAGCCTTTCCCTCCACTAGCACACATCCCAGAGCAAACCCAGGATCTACCGCAACTGTGACACTCAGCTAAGGCATGGACTGCTTCCTCCAAGTACTTCCAAAACAAACAGCACCTCAAAGAGGATAATGAGGTGACAGCATCACAGCCTGGACATTTCTCTTCATTAGCCTGGATTTGGGTGCACCAAGAAAGAAAAATCTTAACAGACAATGCAACCTGTGCATGGACACCAGGATACTCACAGAGGGTTTGCCTCTTCCAAAGGCAATTGTCCTTAAGACACCCAACCATGCAGAATATCCTCACTCCACTCCCAGCATTGGGCTGAACTAATAAATGCAAATAAGCTTCTGCATGTCTTCCCATTCTTGACTGCCTAGTTAACTAGTAAAAAAAAGAACCACTGCAATATAAATTCAGCTGTGTTCTGGTCTGTCTCAGGCATTTTCATTTCAGTGGCCAGATAAAGGGTGAGCAGTGATTCATGAGACACTCTGCACTGCCCACTTTCTCTGTCAGTGGAAATCCTGCTCCAGGTTGATCAAAGGACCCTGAAGTTATACCCCAGATCTCTCCCATTTACTGCTGTCAGTAGAGATGAGGCAGAAAGCAGAAGGAAAATCTGGGCAATCATTCTATGCCAGGCAGATGCAGTACTAACTTACTAAATCTACTCTCAAGCACATGGGTGCAACTCTCATGAACAGGTTCTACAGGCTGACTATGTAGCTATAAAAAACCTTTCAACTTCAGAGCCAGGGGAAGAAAGCTTTTGAAGAGATCAAATAATGAACATAATTTGCAGAGGTACATTTTTTGATCACATTACCTCATCTCAACTGCAAAAAATTCTAGCTCACAGCTGGACCTCCTGGTTTCTTCCTCCTCCAAAATGATATCCTGCTCCCCATTAAACTGATTTAATGGCCTGCTTTATTGGTGATTGTCTCTGGCAGTTCATTCAGCATTTTATACAAAGAAAATCAACATGAAATTGCTTACACAATGCTCCAACTCATTATTTTATTTAAAACCCCTGCCTGTAGTACCGTGATTTCTTAGGCAGACATAGATCTTTGAAAATACAATCAGAGCACTATTGCCTGCTCACTCTGGCCAGTTTTAGCTTCATGGAGGGATGGCCATAGCCCTCCAAGCCTCCCCTAGTGCTGCCGCCACTTGCCCCATGCAGTCTGTAGCAGCTGTACCCGCCCCACTCCTGCCTGCAGCGCAGCCCACCCCGCCGCCAGGAAGAGGCTTGCGCTCCCGGGAAGCCGTGACAGGGGCTGCTGCCCCTATCAAGGGCCCCGCTCCCGGGAAGCCATGACAGGGGCTGCTGCCCTTATCAAGGTCCCTGCCCCCTCACTGCTCCAGCAGCAGGGGCAGGGGCATGGCCCCCTTAGGCGAGGGGGGTTATTTCCCCCCATCCCTCCAGCATCTTGTGGAGCGGGCAGGAAGGGGGCTTATTCTGCCACTCGCCCTGCACAGGGAGCAATCGGCGGAGGTGGCAGTCAAGGCTGGCAGACCCCAGCTGTGGTCCCCAAGGGGGGAATAAACCCCCCTTCTGCCTGCGGGGGCCATGCTGGCCAGAGTCTAGTCATGTCCCCCACCCCCACGGCTGCAGCAGAGAGCAGGGAGCACCAGGCAGACCCTGGCTCAGGTCCATGCTGGTGGGACAGGGAGGAGGGAATTAAACCCTTCCCTGGCCAGTTCTCTTAAGGCTACAGCCAGGGCTGGCCACACCCCTGCCACTGGAGCAGCGAGTGGAGAAATGCCTGGTAGGTCCATGCTGGTGGGACAGGGGAGGGAGGGGGAATAAACCTCTTCCTTGCCCCCTTTGCCTTAGGGGGGCCGGCATCTCGCTATACCCTCACCCCAGCTCTGGCTCCAGAGCTGCAGAGCATGCTGGGATGCTGGGGGACTCTGGTTTAACTTAAACCAGGAAGGGGTCTGGGACAGACATTCCATAAACCAGTTTGAGCTCAATCAGTTAAGTCTGATACTACATTCAACCAGGTTTATCTTAAACCGGTTTCAGCCATCTTCAAACTAGTTTATGTGCACTGAATGTCTGTTCTGTTACAGGTTTAAACCAGTTTCTGATCACTTAAATCGGTTCATGTGTAACTTCTGTCCCTCGCCAAGTGGACCATCTTACATGGGACTGTGGGAAATTGCGTCTTTAAGAGGCTTCCACAAGTGCCAGCTGGAAGTGGTTCTTATGCAGGACAGAGACCCAACAATTGGACAGTGAATGGAGTAGACATCTATCTGAATCCTTGACACAATGGCAGAATGGGATTTTCTATCCCTTAACCCCTGACATGCCTTGGTATTTGTACCTGCCTCTGCTCTAAGAGGTGTTCCCGCGCCGCCCTTGCCCGGGCCCAAGATCTTGTGAGCCCGGGGCCTACGGGTGGACCCCAGTGGGTGACCCTACTGACGTCAGGAGGACCCCTGAACTCGCCTGCCACGACTTTGAATGTTACTTCAGTGGGGGGTCCTCCCTTAGGGTCGCCATTAGGGTCGGCACGTTTCTCGGCAGGTAGTCTTGGGGCTCCGTCCTCCCCTACACCCCAGCCACTCGCCACCTTAGGCCCTGGTCCGCCAGCCATCAATAGTGATCTCCACGAGAGGTGTCCGGCTCCCTAGGGCACCAGCCAGGCCCTTCTACCCCGGTACCTGCTCCGCTCTTGCAGTCCGCGATGCAGCCGGTTTCACCGCGGGCTCTCTTACCTATAACACTATCGGTGGTTCTCCGATGCTGCTGCAGCCAATGCGGCCGGATACCACACCGCTCCTGCTGGTTGGGAGGCAACTGGTATCCTCGCCCACTCTGATGCCCGTCAGCTTGATCAGCGCCCCCTCGGGCTCTGCAGTAGCCAGTTTCCTCCCTGGCTCTGCCTGCAGCCCAGTCAGCTCCCCCCT